AAACTTCGGTACATCAAATTTCCTGAACCGCTTGTAAATAGATCTCCCCACTCATTAGCTCATCATGAATTAGAAACAGTTATAAGGAAGACAGTCACCAACAAAAGGCAGGAAAATTAGCTGCTTCAGAGAATCAAAATAGCCAGCATTTCCACAGAGACAAAAGAAAGTAGAATACTTCATGAATAAGAGAAGTACTCAGCATAAAAAATCTGCAGCAAAATCTTCTCACATTAAGAGACACTAACAGAACTCTTCTCTTTGTTTAGATTTTGCTTGTGTTCTGATGAAAAGTTCAATGGGAAGAACTAATGCACACGGTTTGGGATTTGTTGTTTCACCTGATGTATTTTGACAAGGTAGTGTATTCACATCCAGTCTCATCAAACATGTAAGCAAAACCCATGAGGAAGGCAATTCGACTTGGGTTGGGTTTTGAGGAGCATATACTGGCTTGGCCACCAAAATATTCATTTGCATGCAGGAAAATCGATGGCATTCTCTGTTAACTGCATAGTTTTTTTTATGCCTCAAGCAACAATGTTGTTGCATGTAACAGAACTCAAGCGGTCCTTTATGCTAGCATTTAGACAGTGCAAGAGATTGGCATGCTTCCCATATGAAATAGGTGAATGAATAGCTTTGAACTAGTTCGAAAATGCTAGTTACAGATTAATGTTTGGAGGCTAGACGATGAAATATCACAATGATTTGTCTAATTTTGATGCATATCTAGTAACAACTAGAACAGGGTTTCCAGATTTAATCTACAATTTTATGGAAACATGGGAGTTGGATCTGGCCTTTATGTCTTTGTATACATTGAATAATTATGGGAAACAACTTGATTTAAAGCATTCAGACAATCACTGAATTCCAGTAATTGTATGGGAACTGATAGAACCTATAAAGTTCACGGGGAGAGAGTTGCAGATAGTTTGTGATTCACCTTTACAAAGAGGGTAGCAGGAGCCAAAATAGAAGGAGCATCTACACCATTGAGGTATGCTTTAACCTCTGGTATACCAGAGCCTGCTGCTGCAGGAGCAACGTAAGCACAGAGGGCTGCAGCAGCAATAGCCAAAACCACGTTGCAACCAGCATAAGTTGCAAATGCCTGATAGTACCTGCACTGAAAAAAGAATCATTTATACCATTTTGTTTATTAAAAGAAAACTAACATAAGCATCTAAGCTGTTTCATGATAAAAACATAGCCAATTATATCACGAGTACAAGACAAAAATCCAACAAAAACTTGATTTGCAGAACAACAAAAAAATAAGGCAAAAATATAAAGTTGTTCTGTTATATCTAGAGAATTATGCGTCGTCAAGGAGACCCCCAATACTAGATCTTGGTTCTGACATGGGGTCATACGTTGAGATCTAATTGAGGATTGGGTGTGGAGGGGGGGCTGGGGAGGACCACCCCCATACATAGCTCAATGCCTGATGGGCCTCAGAGAGCAACAAAAAGTTGTTCGTAGAAGTATAAAATATGAATATGGTATAATATCTCAAGAGAATTAACAGAAAATAATAGCACTTTATCATGAAGAAAAACACTTGCAGTGATGATTAGGCTTACTTGTTCTCAAGCATGAGATTGTTTGTCAACAGAAGTTTGAAACCAGCTATGTTTTCAACAGCAAGGTTATTGAAAAAGCCGACAAGCCCTGTACCTAACCCAATGAGGAGAGCAAGTGTCCACTTGAGGACAACATACTGATATATCTCAACCTTCTTTCGAGACCTCCAGTCTTGTTTGAAAAGTTCATTATCAGTAATCCTGCCAAAGTACATTCCAGTGGGTCAGAATGCGGTAGGAACAGAAGATTACTTCTAACATCAAATGAAGCATTGCCTAGAACTTTCAACAATCTATTCTCCCCTTCAATAACCTCATTTTAAGAATTTCAGAATTTCTATTCTTGGTAAGGAGAGGTGCTAAGGCACCAGTGAACATCCTATGGCTACCGAAAGGCTAATTACAGTCACCAACTGAAAGCCATGGGTGAACAGAAAGCTGGGAAAGCAGGTCTAGGAAAGAGGCCTGTTCCCCCACATAAATTTAACAGTCCGATTCTGTAAGACCAAGTACAGCCTCAATAAACTAAATAACTGGTGATAAACATAGGATCAAGCTTCGTCAGCCTCCATCATTTATAGCAGTTAGTCCACCTTTACTTTCCTAACAATAACAGCTTCCACTCTGTAACTCCTAGAAATGCTTCTCATTGAAAATAGCTTCTTGTTCAACTTCTAATAAGGGGCAACGCACGGCCGTTACACCTGCATTTCGCCAGCAAAAGCATAAGAAATTATGCTTTTGCTGCGATGCACCGCGTTGCAAAACGGTGCCTAAGACTGAAGCGAAGGCGGATTGAACAGTTAAAACCTTGCATAAACTCGAACACAAAATGGTGATTTCTTAAAATTACAACGTTTGATTAATGCATTAAACAGCCAATTTAGTTCTGGAAAACTACAAATAGTTACCAAGCTACCACATCAGCATCACGGCTCGCTCGAGAGCGACCTTGTTTATTCTAAGCCAAAATCAAACAACAAAAGATTCACAATTTAGTTTCCTAGTTATCCTAAATTGTCTTTGCACACACACACACACTAAAAAAAAGAGACGAACAAGAACATACAATACAAATGTCCCTTCTTTTTGTCATTTTCCCTCCGTTTTTAGCTATCCAAAAGAAGAAAAGAAGAATTGATATGATGGGAACATTTCAAAAAGAAAATAAAGCCATCCCATCAGTCATTCTTCTAATAAACCAATTAACCCTCACATTTAACAGAAACAAAAATATTTAAGAAAAGAGAAGAAGAAGAAGATTGGGACTTACTCGTAATCAAGGCTTTCAATTGGGCAGGTGTTGACACCAACAATGGCAATCTGTGAAGTATTATTCTTTATATTCCTAACAAGAAATGGCTCTCTCAACATTGACACGCTGTGTTCCTTCTCATCATCTTCTATCTCAAATCCATTCCCTTCTCTACTATTATGATCCTCCTCCATTTTCTTCTCCCCCTTTTCTCTATCTCTCTCAAACTTTCTCGGTCTTGGTATTTGCACGTCAAGTATATACCATACGGGGGGCAAGCAGTGACAAATCTGTTTCCTTTTAAGCTGGATTTTGAAGTTCAAATCAAGAGCAACAGGACCACTTTTTCTCTTTCCTGAACAGCTAAAAGCGAAGTTTGAGTTGTCAGTCTTACGTTATACGGGAAGACAGATCGGCTTTGTGATCTGATTTCCTCAGTTTACGCCTATAAATAAATAAATAATCTATCAATTATTTTTTTCCTTCAAAACTATTTTGAAGATATATAAATTTAATTCAAAAGATTTTTTTTTTCTTTCTAGCATGTATCTACCCCTTGCTTAACCAATTAAACCAACGTTTTTCTTGATAAGGAATTAAAAATCATTAAATATAATGTATTATATCATTTAACGAAATACAAGATACACGATCAAAGTATATACAATCTAATAAATCAATCATGAGCCACGTTGCAACGCAAAGAACCCTGTTTGTAGATTTTCTTCCATTAACAAATAAAATTTTCAAACCAGCTTGTCTGGAAGTGAAGTACATATAAGGTGTTTCTTTAACTATTCATTGTTGAATTGCTAATGTTATTAAATTTAATTCAATAATTTATTAATTTAAAATTATATTTTATATTATTTTATTTTAAATTGATTCGAAATTAAACTTTCATATTATAAACGTTTTCGTAGTGCAGACGTTGGATAAATTTTATAAAATTGTGCTGTATAACTCCGTCAGAGAAGAGAAGAGGGATACGTTACTCTTGTGCAAGTTCTAAAAGTCCATGAAGGAAACAAACTGGCCATGAATTTTATGGTGTCGTATCAATTGGGATTTTATATAAGTACATTGGGATTGTCAAATATATCCAAGATGAGTAGGAGTTCATGTGCCCACCAAATCTCTCGAGTGAACTCACCAAAGCGCGGTCTGCAACTTTGTTTTTTCTTTTCTTTCTTGTTCATTTGTCTCCTTTCCATGACGCAACTGCACTTCTTCCCATTTTGTTTTACCCCCAGTCCTCTGCCCTTAATATTTTGAAAAGCATTAATTATTCTACGAGGGCCTCTGTGCTACCATAGCTTTAGAACTCAATCAAGGGTAAGTCCCGGCAAGAGAAAATCAAGCCCTTTTCATTTCAAAAGAGAAAAAGAATAGATTTAACAGGTTGATAATGGGATTTTAGCTAGGTCCGGTTCAGATTGATTATTTTTTTTTTTCTTTTGAGGAAAAAGATGGTGAGGTTTTGCTTGGGATGGAAAATTTGAGAAGAAGGGAGTTAAAGAGATGTTTTCACTTGGAAAGAGAAGACTAATATCCCTCTTCAACACTAATGATGGTTCATGAGGAAGGTGGAAAAGGAAAATTCATGAACGAACGTATATTTATGTGGAGAGAAAAGGTTGATGTCCCCACCAATCCCTTGAAATCTGCCATTAATAAACAAGAAATCCACTCCTTAATCTCTTAGGACACACGTTAGTGCATTCTTACACATGTATTTGTGTAATTGGTATTTGTGGAATGGGATTTTAAAACTATATATTTGTATTGATTGATTGACTATGTTAAATATTTAATTTTAATAATTTATTGGATTCTTTTGTAAGAAACACACGTAAGTGATAAGTGTGATAAACAATAAATCATGGATTTTGTAAATATGTTAAATATTAAATGATTGTTTGAATATAAAAAAGAAAAAAAAAGGAAGATATTTGACGACTACACATGTTTCTATAAATTTCTTTTATGATTCATTTGCAAGTATATTTATTGTATTCTAAAATGTTATTCTTTCACGTGATAGTAATAATTTACAGAAAAAGAATTCTAAGAACAACCTTAAATAAAAATAAAAATACGGGATATATTGAATAAAATACTATAGAAATGTAGATCTAGTAGCAACACTAAATAGTAGATCTAGCATTATCAAAGATAAAAGAGGAGAAAATAAAAAATTGATGTTCATGAACTCTAAGAGATTTTTAAAATATTAAAAAAAATAAAAAAAATAGAGAAGATGAGAAGTATGCTATTTTGTTTTTTGAGCTACAAATTTTTTCATAGGCTTTAGAAGAAATTTCTTCTCAATAAATTAACTCTAGGAATATAAAATATAAAGGGAGGACACAAGGAACATGTTTTTATTGTATTTCTTGTTTTAAAAATATATAAATTTATTCTAAAACTATTTAAAAATCAATTTATTTTATGTTTGTATTTGTTTTTTTTTTATCTGTCTTTCGGACATTAATCAATAAATGGTAATTATGGTTCGAAAAACAACGAGAGTGGAACCCACGACCTTATTAGGTTCTATAATGGAGTACTTGCTTTTTTGAAGGCTTGAAAAATAAGAGGCGAGGGCAATGGGTTCGCACCAGCACAAGCAGTAGACCGTTTCCAACTTTTACTAACCGTAATAACAACTTGGTGGCTAAACGCCAACTGCTTCCTTCCTTCCTTCCCTGTACACCTATTCTTGCTTCCTCTCTCTCCTCCCCTGGTCTCCACCTATACAATTACAACAAAGACTCGGATTCTGATTCTCCGCATCCCTATCTCCCTCCTTAAACCACCTTTCTTTTTTCAATCTCCATCATCAGCCACACTGCTTTCTATCATAACACTCATCTTTAAAGTTTCTCTCTTTCTCTCTTTGTGGAGTATGGTGACTTGATGCCAAGTGTTGAATCGATGTTCTTTTTCTAGTGATTTAGGCCCTTTTGCTTTTCTTTATGAATTCCTTGAGTTTCCCATTTGGGTTTGATTCAAAGATCTACTTTTTTTTTTTTGTTTTTGTGGGATAATTTTAGAACCCAGGTTTCAAAACTCTTGATTTCTTTGATTTTCGGGGTTTAATCAGTGTTTTACTTGGTGGGTTTTCCTTATTTTCTTTCATCATCACTGAAAGTTGTGTTTTCTCTGGGTTGCGTGTTGATGGTTAGGATTTATTTCTGTGGGTTCAAGTTTTGCGGTGAAAGAGTTGAGCTTTGATTGAGGAAAAGAATTGAGAGATTATTGGGAATCAGTGATTGGGGTATTGACTTATTGAATGAAAAGTGAGAGAGAGAGGGAAACAGATGGCAAGGAACAGAGGGGATAAAGAAGAAGGACCTGAAAAGCTCATGGGTTTGCTGAAACTGGTTCAGATATTGTCGTTGTTGGTAATTTTTGTTGCTGGTGTGATTCTAGGCTTAGCTACTAGTTCTCACATCAACCATTACTTTACTTCGCAAGCACAGTTGTTTCTCACTAACAACATTGCTTCAGCAAAGCTATCGGATAATAATTGTACAGTTGTGAAGCCTTGTGAGAAGGTTGATTTTTTGAATATGGAGAGGTTTGTTCATCCAGACAACGTGATTCATAGCATGACTGACGATCAGGTCTTTTGGAGGGCTTCTCTGTTGCCACAAAAGAAAGGGTATCCCTTTGATAGAGTACCTAAAGTTGCTTTCATGTTTTTGACTAGAGGACCTTTGCCACTGCTGCCTTTGTGGGAGAGGTTCTTTAGGGGTCATGGCCAGTATTTCTCCATCTATGTCCATACTCCTCATGATTATGTGCTCAACGTTTCCAGTGATTCCCCATTCTATGGAAGAATGATTCCAAGCAAGGTATGTATCCAAATCCACATGGTTTTAGTTTATTATATCTGTTTATTCTGATATCTATTAGCAATATAGTTGAAATTTCCATGATATGGATGCTCTAGATGTAGTATCTTTTGATATTGAGTTGGAAAGGGCTAGATTAGGTTATGAGTTGTGCGTGCTTATCGGTGATCAGATTAGTGGCCTATTCAGCTTTGGGTGTTGGGGTAGGAAATTAGGGGGAGCTTGTGAGCATAGGAGATATTATTTTTCAAAGTGGTTTTTTTTAAGAAATACATGAAAATAATGTTTTTTTTTTATTTTTGAAAATTTATTTTTCACATCAAATATGAAAACGATCCAAAAATATTAATAAAATTAATATTTTTTAATTTATGAGAGGCAAGTTAAACCTCAATACAGACAACAATTACAAGTGCATTTTTTGTCAAGGGAAATGATGCAACATAGAATTCTACGAATCGGGTCACTACACAAAACCCTAATTTAAAACTTTATTACTAAATATTTTCTCTCCTAAGAATTCTAAGATAAACAACCCTTTATACTAGTTTTTGGTCCATCTTAAAAAGGAAAAGAATTTCAATCAATAATTATAGAGTTTTTATAGAGATTCCTAAATTGAATAGGAAAAGTAAAATTACCAATCTCAGAATTTGTTTTCCTAAACTGAATTGAAAAAAAAAATAAAAACAGGAAAATATTTTCTAAAACTAAATAGGAATAAAAATAATTAAGGGAACAGATCTTTCGCTTAAAAGTCCTCCCGCATGAGGAAGTCCTTAAGCCCTATGTAAAAGTTGCATAAATATTCTAAATGTTAATGAATTTGCATGTAAATATCTTTTCTGGAGAAAGTTTGTTGATGAATTTTCCACAATTTGTTTCTGTACACATGCGCACAGTCTGTATGGATACACATCCTTTTCCCTTAGTTCTCTTCTCCATGTTCTAGTGTTATAATTCTCCACTATTGTGGTGTGGTTTTGATGGAGTATTACTTCTGGAAATAATTTCTGCAAGCTTTGTCTTGCTTTCCTTGGTATAATATAGATAGAAGCTCGGTGAATCTTTTGACAATTTCTGACAAGATTATCTTTTATAATGTTTTGGGCATTTGTGGTTCTCTTGAGGCAGTGTAAAACAACCATATGATCACCTTTTCAGTTGGTCCATTTCATTCATTCCCATCTAATTGTTGTAGCTTAAGAATGTAGCAGCATAATAAATACCGGGATCTCATGAAACATCAATTTGAAGGTTGAATGGACTGCTTCTGAGATCGTGCACTGCAATAACAAATCATTTTCTTCCTTGTCAAATCACTCTATGGATCTTGCATGGAGAAGCTCTCCGCAATCATCTAAATGCCTGCGATTAACTTACACGTGGATGTCCATTACAGATACTCACCAGCATACAAAATGCATGCGATTAACTATCTTGCCACTTTGCATTGACAGGAAAAGTTGATATTGGATGCATTCTGCAGTTATGCTCTACAATCACTGTGATTGGCATAATAAGATGCATTCTGTTGGTGTTTTTTATTTGTTGATGAACTTCTCTGGTTACTAGAAACGAATTGT